TTTTTTCTGAAGGTCATAGAGACTTGGAAGTTGGTTCCATCTCCACTATTTTGGGTATGCCCGATCCATTGGTACCACCCCCGAGCTACTACGACCTTTGGAAGTGGTGAAACCACTGAATCTGAAAACAAAATAACAAGATATTTTTGAATAACTTTTTTTCTGAACGTCATAGAAACTTGGGCATTTCAGGATTAATGAAGGGTAGCCTGTCACACAACCACACCGAATTTCAGCATGTTTCGAGGAAGCAGCGCAGAGTTATTCAGCCTATGGTGAATATGGGTTAGGGTTGCAATTAGGGTTAGGGTTAGGGTTGTGATTAGGGTTAGGGATGAATACATATTGGAGATCAAGAAATTCTTCAATAACTTTTTTTCTGAAGGTCATAGAGACTTGGGCATTTTAGGATTAATGGAAGGTAGGCTGTCACACAACCACACTAAATGTGGTTGTGTGACACCCTATGGTGAATATGGGTTAGGTTTGCAATTAGGGTTAGGGTTAGGGTTAAGGGCTGATGAGGTCTTTGGTGTTCATAACAGTTTGCTTTACAGGATCACCATTTCAACCATATGTGCTATTCTCACTGAGTGTTTGCTTTTATATATTTGTGTTGCAGTGGGTTATTCTGTGAGTTCTCTCCCCCAATGGTCCTCCCTCGCACCAGCCCCTGCGACAACCACGAGTGTCTGAACGGGGCGCAGTGCGTCATCGTGGGAACCGACCCTCGGTGCCAGTGTCTCCAGGGCTATGACGGCGAGCGCTGCGAGACTCTTGTCAGTGTCAACTTTGTCAACCGCGAGTCCTACCTGCAGCTTCCCTCCAGTCTCCTCTCACCAGAGACCAACATCAGCCTACAGGTGAGCACTTACTCAGTCTAACACTGAGGTTGTAATGGAGTACAGCTCTGAGGTGATTGTTCTTTAGGTGACCCTAACCCTATTTCAATGTCATTCTCCTTTATATGTCTACTCTATCCTGCTCTTCTCTTTCTGAGGTTATATAATATAAATATATATTATAATAACTTTTTACTTTTTTTACTTTTCAGATTAAGATTTTATAATCAATTCATACAAAAGGCTTATATAAAAAAACATGTATTTTTAAACCTTTGATTTGATAGATGGTTTCATTTAAATGTTTTTTTTATATCATCCAATATCTCAAAAAGTAAATATCAGAGGTCAGTAAAAGAAAAACAGAACAGAATACATATATGTTAATGAGATTTTTTTTCCTCTCATCTCTCCTTTGTTCTAATTATCTCGCAACCAACACAATGAGAGCCCCTTGATGAAACCACCTAATTTATAAAACGTATAATGATACATGTATTATAAAGCATTTTAAACTGGCTCCACCACATAAAACCAAAAAGCTGTATTACATCTTTTACATTTTCTTTCCCCACCAATACTTACACTTTCCATACCTTAAAGTAGATATAATTAAAATTGATACTAAAAATGTATCAAAAAAACTTCAGTGAAATAAGCCCAAAGAACTATTGCATCTAACAGTCACATTTAGCAAATAGCTGGTGAACATAATTGAGCACAGAGCTGCCATAGAGCCAGAGCGTTTAGGCATTGTTGTAGACCAAATAACAAAGAGTTAATACTGTGTGCTAGTTTGGCCTGTTGCTCACAAGCAGCTGTGTTCGGAATCAGTTTCCACTTCTTATTCTTCCAGCATTGATATTTATATCCTGCCGTGCTTTCAGATCGCCACAGATGAGGACAGCGGTGTGTTACTGTACAAAGGGGACAATGATCACATTGCCATGGAGCTGTACAGGGGACGCCTCAGGGTCAGTTACGACACCGGGTCCTACCCTCCTTCTGCAATATATAGGTACGTGCTAATACCAGCAGAACTGTCCGACAACAACACTGTCACGGATGCTGCATTCACATGATGAATGACACTGAATCTCTCCATTCTCTCTCCCTCTCTCTCAGTGTGGAGACAGTGAATGATGGCAGTTTTCATGCGGTGGAATTAGTAGCATCAGACCAGACTCTGTCCCTGTCCATCGATGGCGGGACGCCCAAATCCATTTACTCCATCAGCAAACAATCCACGCTCAACATAGACTCTCCACTTTACCTGGGAGGTAAGGACCTAAGCACAGTGTGTGTGTGTGTGTATGTGTTTGTACAGCTGTCTTTGTGAGGACCTGTTTAAGCCTTTAACCTACGGAATGAGGACATTTTTGTCAAAGCGAAGACATTTTGGACGGTCCTCACTTTGTGACCCCCCTTTAATGGACTGTTTGGAATTAGGTTCAGGTTAGGTTAAGGTTCAGGGTTAGGCTTAAGCATTTAGTTTGGATGGTCAGGGTAAGGGGCTGGGAAATGCATTATGCCAATGAGTGTCCTCACTGAGATAGCTGTATAAATGTGTGAATGAATCAAGATAAATACACTTCTCTGCCTTTCTGCAGGTCACAGACACAACTGGACCTCACTGCTACATATTCATTTATTTGTTCATCCAGAAAATCTGGTTTTTAATCATTTGCTTTGTGAAGTTTTGTTGTAAAGAAACGGCAATGTTTTTAAATTATATATTTATCTGATTCACATTGTTGGTAATGTGTCATAAATATATCATAATAGTGGAATGTAACAGATTTAAATTGCTCTCCTCAAATGTGTCATTATGTACTGATATACAGATGGTCAAAAATAAGAAAAAGTGTAAAAAGTTTTGCTAGTTTCATTTAAAAGAAATCTCTTTAGCCTCATATATTGCAATATTAAACATAATGCATGTCAATCTTACACAAAACCTATCATATAAAATAATATTATATTATTATATATTATATTGTATTAAGAATTAAAAAAGGTTCCCAAATATCTCCAATCACTCTTTTCTTCTTCAGGGATGCCAGAGCGTGCTTCTGCCTCGGGGGGTCTGTCGGCCCTGCAGCAAAGCTCAGGTGGACACAACGGCACCAGCTTCCACGGCTGCCTCCGTAACCTTTACATTAATGGGAAGCTCCAGGACCTTGGGGCTGGGTTGGGGGCTGGGTTGGGGCCAGGGACTCCAGGCTCTGGGACGGCACAGAGCACCACCAGTCAGTTGCTGGGTCAAGGAGTGGAGCCAGGCTGCCAGCCGTGCCAGAGAGGTGCCTGTGTCCAGGGTGACTGCCACGCTACAGGGCACCGAGGCTTCACCTGCACCTGTCACCCGGGTTGGACGGGAGCACTGTGTGACCAGCAAGTTAACAACCCCTGTGACGGCAATAAGTGAGTGTGGTTTTTTATGTGTTGACATAAGACCAGACTGAGTCCAGGTCTAGTGTTGTAGGATTTTAAATTTAACATGTGCTCTGCAGGTGTATCCATGGCACGTGCCTTCCAATCAACTCCTACTCATACTCCTGCCGCTGCCAGCCTGGTTTTGCCGGCGTCCTCTGCGATGAGCAGGACCAGGACACAGCTAATCCCTGCAGTCTGTCTCGCTGTAAACATGGCAAATGCCGGGTGTCAGGCCTGGGTAAAGCATACTGCGAGTGCAACAGTGGATACACAGGGGAGGCGTGTGACAGAGGTGAGGAAAACATGGATGCATGTGGTATGTTAGGTGTGTCTGCGTGTAGATTAGATATTAAAAGTAATATCTAATGAGCCTCAAGCTTGCGAATCTAGAGCATGTTTCTTTTAAAATAACATTTTCTGCTTCTGCTCTACCTGCTATCTGCTATTTAAAGGGTATATATACAATATTACTGCCACTAGATGTAGCAATGGATTTATTTATTTCTCTGAGGCCTTTTTTAGTTAAAAACATGGTAGAAGTAAATTTAAAAATAGGCTGAAGGATGAACACTTTGTACCTCACTCAGCCATCTGGCTTTATAACCATGAGGAGGACCAACAGTTTCACAGGGAGGGACTCACAACAACACCAGCTAACATGTAGAGGGAGTTCAGCTTCATCCTAACATCAACGTCCCTGCTCTGTTTAAAATCCCACATATATAATCTTTAAACTCTCTCAGCAGTGTTTCTGTGTGTGTGTGTCTAACAGTGTTTTGTGTTTCTGCATTAACACCTCTAACCCCTGTTGCTTTTTCAACTCAGCATCTCCTGAGCCTCCTCTTAACCCCACACGGGGGGTTACACAGGTGAGGCGGCCTGGTCACATTTTACTGTCTCTTTTTTATGATTTATTTTCTTTTAATTTGTTTCAATTGCAACACAAAATACCTCAACTCACTCACCTCTGCTTCAGCTTGTCTACCTCATGCAACTAGCTAAAGTAGCCAAATTGTGAACTGTCATCTTATTTCTTTATTCTTATTTCATTATTATCCAAGAAAATCTTGCCAAGGACCATGAAACATTTTTTAGCTAATTGGTCATTGACATTTTCCTATACTGGATATAGATAACATATTGCTACATGATAATTACTACATGATAATTACTACATGATAATTACTACATGATAATTAGCTGGTTTGTTTAGAATTTATTCTGTGTGTTCAGTCATGGTGTCTCCTTATCTCTGTTAGCCTTTGTTTTATCCTCTGTATGGAGACAGTTCCAGATAGTAACTAGTATGGCACTTAGTAGAGCTCATACCTCTGCCATGGCCCCACAGTTCTTAAATTCAATCAAGGGGAACCAAATCTCACACACTCATAGATATCAGTCCCCTCATCCATGTATTATTCCCTGGGAAAACAGAAGCAGTGAAGGCCCCCAGATCTGGATCTGCACCAAGATTTAGTGGGACCTTCACTGACCCACATTGCATGCTTCAATCCATTTTCATAGTAATCCATTCAATAGTTTTTGTGTAATCTCAGTTAAAAATAAAGATACAGACCAACAAAGAAAATGAACAGGGGGTGAAAACATACACAAAGGTAACTCTAGAAAAGCTCAGGGAAGCAGATGTGCACTGCTCTGTGTCAGAGGTCAGATGGTTCAACCAGACGTACATTTGCCAACTCAACCTCTTATTCCTCTCCGAGATCCCTTTTGTCACTATGTCCTAAAAGTGTGGATAACTTGTAACCTTCCTATTCCTGCTCATCTCTGCAGAGGTGGCCTGCCGAGGGGAACGGATCCGAGATGTCTACCAGAGACAGCAAGGCTACGCGGCGTGCCAAACCCAGGAGAAGGTCTCCCGTCTAGAGTGTCGGGGCAGCTGCACGGGGGGAGCAGAAGGACAAGGCACCTGCTGCACCCCCCTCCGCAGCAAACGCAGGAAATACACCTTCCAGTGCACTGATGGCTCGTCTTTTGTCCAGGAAGTTGAGAAAGTGGTCAAGTGCGGCTGTACAAAGTGCTCCTCATAAAAAAAAAGAAAGAAAGGAAAAAAAGACACAATACCCTTGGAAGATTTCCTCCTTCGCCAGATATGTTCTGTGTTCCTGCCCGCCTTACTTGACCCCCGTCTCCTGATTCTTCCAGCCTCTACAGTCCTCCCCCCACCAACTTTTTTTTTTTAAACCCTGAAAAAAGTAATAAAAAAGAACACGAGAAAAAAAAAAGGTTTCTTTTCTTGTCAGTGCTGGACTGATGATTGATGCTTCCTCGGTGGGGATGTTGAATTGTATTGTAAAGTACAAAAACAGACTTATTTTTTATTATGAAGTGGAGAAAAAGACAAAAAAAAAACCCACAAGCATTGACTTTTTCCTGACACCTTCCGCTTTTCGTTTGGTCACAATGACTCCGATGATGTGCCACACTGTCTCTTCCCCTGGAGGACTGACCGGTCACTGGCGGCCGACCGCTTCCTGTAGACTTCCTGCTTCCTGTCTGTGAGTCATGTGTTTTAGGAGTTAACCTTAATCGGTAGTACCACAGACTCACCACTGAAAGGAACTGCGTTGTGGCACGGGAGAGGGCGGACGGCGATCACCCCCCACCCCCACCCCCACCCCACCAACAACTCGACAAACCACCACAGTCTCCCATAACAGGCCTCCTGAACCCTCTGAGACTGTGTGCACAACCCTGCACATAGCCTTGCTCAAACTTGTGGTATTTTATACAGCTACTGAACAACATACACACACATGCATATGTTCTCACTTGTAGAACAGTCACACACATTTCTTGCCAGGTTAAATATACTTCTCTCTGTTTATCGCCCCGCTCCAGTCATGGATGACAAGTATTTATTGTATCATAAATACCTGTTCCTATTCAGTAGATCCCCCATGTATCAATCTGATTCTTTTAATATATATTAATTTATATTTGTCCTTATTTTTGTATTAAAAAGACATAATCTGTCAAGATAGCTGAACTAACAAGATGGTGTCCTTTATTTTGGTTGAAGAGAAGTTGTTTTTTGTTTTTTTTTGATCGCTGAAACTCTTGTGCTTGCCAGAGACCTTAGTTACATTTTAATCTGCAAATGTGACGTGAAGACATTGTATATTTTTGTCACGTTTCCTGAGAGTTTGTACTGTGCCATTGCCAGAAGGTCTTTATATTAGAGTATAAATGTATAGATAATTTCCCTACCTATGTATTCCACACACAGATCTTGTGCGTAGCATTGACCCTTAGAGGATTCTTAGAACAGTTTTTACCTTTTTAACAAATTTATGCTTTAAGAATACTGTGACTTTTTCTAAATGAAACTACTTTGTTAGCCCCTTGGTCTCCGATGTTAACATGTTGCTGCTAAGTTTTTGTACCGTAGACTTGGATCCTGATCTGTATGTTATATAGAACCTCCTGCCCCAACTGTGCGGGGGGCACCTTGTGTAACAGATAAATATGTCCCCCCTCCACCTCTACACATGTGCATTGTGCTTTATATTCCCTCCCTTCTCCATCCCCAGACTAATGTCAGTTCCCTGACTGATGTTTGTTTATTAAACACAATATTTACCTCACACTTCTCACTTCTGACTTTTTTGTCACACTAAGTGGTCCAGAAATATTCCCTAAGGACAAATTGAAGACAAAGACCGAAAAGGGTTTTAAAGTTGAATTCAGAGGAGTGCATACCTCCCAAAGGCCCCACAGTGGAACACAGTTGATGGATGTAATGTTTTATTGTGCTGTGTTTTATTTCACTTTCATTGTTTGTTTTTCTTCTTCCAGTCCACGTCTCACTGATAATGAAGCAGAGTCTCAGCGGCTGGGAAAGAAGTGAGGTGTAAATGAGTGTCAGGTAGCCTTGGAGAAACAAATACTCATATTCTATACATCAGAGGGTGAGCAATCTACAACAATTCATTTCTTATATGCAGACACTATTATATAAAGAACACTCATATACCACAGTTTTAAAATCTGAATCAAGAGTGGAGTCAGAACAAACAACAGATACAGGTTTTTGTGTGTATTGTGCGTTCATTGGATTAAAATCGTCTGTATTGAATCTGACTTCTGTCACTAGATTTCATCATCGTGTTTAATTCATTAGGATTGTTTTCTGACCTGTAAATCACAAACCATGACAACTTCTCTCTCTCTCTCTCTCTCAGCCTGATCTATTTTTAGAAGTCACTGTGAGCGTGGGGCACGTGGAAGGTTTTCTGACACCTTGCACTAATAATTCAAAGACAACAAACAAATGTACACTTTAACATCCAAACATGTTTTAGTTTATTCCATTTAACATGTGTTTTTAATATTGATACCATTAAACAGACAGTGGGTTTGAACAGGGTTTATTTTTGTCTTATTTTAGATTTCAGTGCAGCCTTTATGTGAACCAATATTCCCATGACCCAAAAGAAATCTCCATATTTCTCTCTTGAAACCCTCTGTCCTCTTTTCTTCCTACTATATAGTTCACACTGTCACGCTCTTTCCCTCTCTCCTTTTACTTTCCTGCTCATGTCTGACCTAATTCATTTTTCTGCAAGAAGCAATTGACCTGAACACACATGTGCACACACACACACACACACACACACACACACACACACACATACACACACACACACAGTCTCTCAGACATGCTCTGGTTGTTCTTACACATAAAAGATATGAAGGATTTGATAATTTACATAAGCGAACTCAATCTGGGTAAAATGTTCTTCATACATGTGTAATAACTCTGAGAGCAGGGACGTCTCCCCCTGGAGAACCAGGATTACTGCAGGGAACAAGAGACGACCTGATCCGATGCCCCCTAAGAGACCACAGAGGATTACAGAGAGCAAAAGATTCCACAAACTGGATCATAGAGGAAGAGACAGTATGTGGGAGGTAAAACAAATCTATTAGCTAATGTTTACACCTTCTCATCTATTAACATACTTGCAATTATGTTCAAGCAAGACTTGGTTCAGTCAAGTCATGGTTTCTTAAATCAGTGTTTTCGCAATTATACAATGAACTAGAATATCTCTCCTGCCGAGACATTTTGAATGGTTGCCTTTTTGACACCGCTCCGCACAGAGTGACACATCCTTTAAGAGGAAGGACAGAGACCCTGAGAGAGAAAGAGGGGGTGTACCAATTTCAGAGAGAGAGAGAAACCATGTTGTAGGGTTGTAAGGTCTTATCACCATGCATGGGATTTCATTTAAAAAATCGAGCCTCCTTCAGGCTTCCTGACAACATTCCGTTACTATCTGGGTTTTTTATTTTGAAAGTCCAGCCTTTTTTAGGCTTCTTAGGAACATCCCTTAACTATCTGGGGATTTTATTTTGAAAATCCAGTGTCTTTCAGGCTTCCTGGGAACATTCTGTAACTATCTGGAGGTTTTATTTTGAAAATCCAGCATCTTTCAGGCTTCCTGGTAACATCCTATTACTATCGGGGGGCTTATTTTCAAAATATAGGCTTTGTACAGCCATGTTGTGTAGTTATAAAAAATCACCATGGAAACTGTTGCTTCTTAAAAACCTTCTTTAATGCCTTTGTGGGGGCAACCATCAGAGTGATTGCTGGCCTGCAAATCTTTAGATGTCAATCAAAGGACCAAAAACTCTACAGACTGTAGAGGACATTTCTTTGGTCCTTTGAACTACTACTACTTATAAATAACAGACCGTCAACTGAGAAGACCACAGTCCTCGTTTGTGAAGACAACAATCCTGCCTACGGAGACAACAACTGATTTGTTCAGTAAATAATTAATCAAGAAGACATTGCTCTCTTAACCACAAATCCCCCTTTACCGAAATGGACATTCCGGTAAAACATTTTTTTTTAGAAATGTATGTTCAGGTTGTGTTGATTTGACTTTTAATAATGAATTCCATGTTTCTATTTTTCAGACTTGTGGAACAGTGAAGTCTAAGATTGAGGCTCTGAGAAAGACGCTCAAACAGGAGGATGAGCTTCTGAGGGAGAAGGAGAAAATGCCAGCTGGCTCTAAAGCCCACAATGGCAAACTGGCTGTACAGGGCAACAAAGTGAAGGCTCTGGAAGAGGACAATGTGGCTCTGAAGAAGAAGGTGGCCCCTTTAATAAGGGATTTCAGCAGGGTTGAGCTTGTGGTGACAGAGGTGGAGGAAAGGCAAGCTCACAGCCAAAAGATTGACTCCATGGACAAGGAGACTCAAACCAGCGAGCTGCCATGGTAGGATTAAGGCTTGTGGCTCATCGAGGCTAGACACATCCATATTTAATACTAACAAGGAATTTTCATTAAAGAAAAATAACCAAATGTTAATCTTTAGAAAGTTTATCAAAGAGCAGGAGGCTGTAAGAGTTCAACTGCACTTCACAGACCCTCATCATGGCAGCTTGTGTTTTAGTTGGGTTGTCACAGTAAAAGCTTCTGTCCTCTCACCAGTCAGGGCGTCTTTCACAGGCACAACATCTACAAATTATTCATGTTTGTTTCTTTCAGGAGATAGACATGGGGGTGGGGGTGGGGGTGGGGGTGGGGGGCAGAGTGCACTCAGAATTCACCGAGATGCACAGCTGATGGGTGCTAATGTGAATATATAATCCCACTTCTAGAGATTCAGAGAAATCCTGACCTCTGATAACTCTGTCGGTGATGGAGGGAGAGAGAGAGAGAGAGCAAAGCCGAATATTTGGCCTTGAATGGCCACACTGGAAAAACTCCATCCTCACTGGTAGACTTTAAATTTCAGTGTTTTTTAATTAAAAAGGGTGAGATAGTTTCACTTCCTATACATTGTCTATTCTATTCTAATCTAACATATTTGACCATGGACAGGTATCTTCCATACTGTTTTTCTTTCTCTTACTATTACTTCCTCTTAGAAAATGAGAATGTCTCCACGAGGCATGAAACCAAATGTCCAAGGCTAATGTCCTTCACAAAGGGTTAGTTAGAAAATTGGCATCAGTGTGTTGGGCATTGGCCATATGGAAAATAGAGCAGGAGACCAACATGTCATTTGTAGCAGGTCTTTTGTTTTCCACATGGGGTTGGATGTGCACACTCCACCTTCACACTTAACCTCCAGTGGACGTCCTACTGTGTCCCTTGTGTGGGTATCTGCGTCAGTCTGTCTTTGTCGTTACTTTCTTCAGTGTCTGTCACCTGCTCGGGGTTTGTCCCTCTGTAATAACACACGGTCACTGTGGTGTTGCCGCTGTCCTCGCTCCCCCGGGTGTTCGTGGAGCAGGAGACCCCCAGCCTCGCGTTCAGGGGTCCCTCCTGCTTCAGGTTCGCGGCCCTGTCACTGTCCACCGCTGCGCGCACCGCGGCCCAGCAGCCTCCTCCTCCGCGGCAGCGCAGCAGGCGCAGGAAGGCGTCTCTGAAGTCTGCGTTAAACGCGTAGATGACCGGGTTGAGGGACGAGTTGCTCCAGCCGATCCACACAAACACATCAAATGTTTTTTCGTTGACGCAGTAAGGGCCACGCTGGCTCCCCGGGGCCCCTTGTCCGGGACAGAAGGGCAGGGCGCAGTTGAGGATGAAGAAAGGCAGCCAGCAGCAGACAAACACTCCCATGATGACGCTCAGAGTTTTCAGGACTTTAGTCTCTTTCCTGATGGAGACTTTGAGCTCCCGGTGACTCTGAGTCTGAGCCTGCACACTGACACGAGCCTGGTATGAATGGGCATTGATTTCCGCGTACAGGTGAGGAAATGGTTCAGGTTCATCCGAACGGCAACTTTGCGCGTGTTCCGCCGCGCGCTCCAGGGAGGAGATCATCCGGATCTGCACCTGCGCGATCTGGTAGATACGCGTGTATGTGAGGATCATGATGGCGACAGGGATGTAGAAGCTGATGAGGGAAGAGGAGATGGCGTATGTGCGGCTCAGGCTGGAGTCACAGCTCCCCTCCATGCTCCAACCTCGACGCGCCACATCCTCCATACCGGCCGTGTCACTGATCTCTGCCCTGTGCCAGTTGAGCTGCACGGGGACGAAGGAGATGACCACGGACACCGTCCAGGTCACGCCGATCATGACGGAGGCCACTTTCTTGTTCATGCTCCTCTCGTAGCGGAAGGGGCTGGAGATGGCCCAGTATCTGTCCACGCTGATGACGCACAGGTTGAGGATGGAGGCTGTGGAGCACATGATGTCGCAGGCCAGCCAGGTCTTACAGAAGCCCCCGAACGGCCAGAAACCGGCCACTTCAGCCGCAGCCTTCCACGGCATAACCAGCACCGCGACCAGCAGGTCCGACAGAGCCAGGGACACGATGAAGATGTTGGTCACTTTTGCGCGCAAATGCCGGTAGCGATAAACGGCGGCACATACCGTGAAGTTGCCCAACAGCGTCCAGATGATAAGCAGTGCCAGGACGCAGCCGGTTAAAGCTCGATGTGCCGGTAACTCCTCCCGACTGTCAGGTCCCACCAGTGCCGAGCTGGTCGTGTTATTCATTGCCTTGCCCTGCGCTCCTCCATGAGTCAAACTGTAAGGATGAGAATCACAACCATTCCTGCAATGACCACGAAAAAGCAGAGGTTGAATAGTCCCTGGAGCTGGAGACAGTCTGTGCTGACTGAGCTGTGCTGCTGCTCCAAGTGCACAGCAGGTTTACTGGGACCGCAGGCACCACCAGCTGGATACTGAGCGCAGCGCTGAGGCGCACAGGGCACAGGGAGGTTTAACACGTGAGAAAATACAAACGTGTCGAGCCATTTCACATTATCTCTGTATCCATTTACTTTCATTCTGCATTTCTACTGTTTTACTCTCTTCTCCAGATGTTTTTTCCCATTTCTCCCAATTCTCCCAAGTAGTTGTGCCATTGATGGTTAACATGGAATTGCATCAAGTAAGAGCAGGCTTTTTAAAGTAGGCTTCACAGATTCGTCATTTTTATTACCTTTACATTTGACCACAATAATTCAACAATAAAAATGAAATAAGCAAACAAAACAAATAGAAATAGAAAGAAACAGAAAACTCAAACCAACATATATATATTGATCGAATAGAAAATCTGAATTTAACTTAACTGACTCATACATAATATATTAAAACACCTATTTTTAGCCAACTGCACCATAGAGTATTGGATATATGACAATGCTCTGTGCATTAGATCTGCGTGTCATACAGATTTTCTAACTCATCTTTTATGTATATCATTAAATAATTAATATAAATAACTCATTTACAAACTAATTTGCCCTGACAAGGACCACGTCTTTTTGAAGTGTACAATATCAATATACTTTGTCTTGATCCACTGCTCTTTCCTGTCTTTGATTATTGGCTTTATGTGCAGCCAATTGTTTTTTCAGTAGGATTTTGTTGGAGGCAATGCTGCTTGTTCATTGTCCATACATTGTTTTGTTCAGTTCTCTGTACAGTTCATGAGGATTACTGCCACAGATACAGATGTGTGTTTGTTTGCTTTTAATTTTCAAAATTTTACATTGTTTTGCATGGAGAAAAATTTTACATTTGAAGAGACATAACATGTGTTTTAAGGAAAACAGACTTGATATTGGTTTAATATTTATATTAGTTTTAATTGTTTACCTCATTCATACAGCACCAAATTCTGCACATGAACTTGTAAATGTGTCGGGTTAAAATTACATTACAGCGCTTAACCACACACACGAGCGTGTAATAAATTAATTTACTCTGTGGAGCCTTGACTGCATCTTCTCCTATTTCAGGAAGCCATGGTCTCCTTCTCCTCTTCATCATCTTCCTGAGTGGCTCCCAGCAAACAGGTTTCCACCACAGCTCTCATCACTAGGTATGGGTTGCAGTTGGCAGCAGGACGTCTGTCCTCCAAGTACCCACAGCCCATGCGACTGACATGGCCAGGGATGCGCACACTAACATCACGACAGGCTACGGCTGCAGAGAAGTCATGGAAACTGGAAGTACCACCCTGACTGGTGAGGCGGTGTATGTTGTCAGCACCACCATGAGGATCGTAGACATCCAGACATACATATCAGAACTTCAACATTACATTGACATAAGATGCATAATTATAAGCAGGTTACATGTAATTCATAGTTAATATCAATCAAAAGTGCAGATATAAATGTTTCAAACTAACTTAATAGTGACTGAGTAACATATGACCAATATATTTATTGTTACAAACAAAATTGTGTTAAATGTGGTTATTACTGAAATTGTAAACTAAATCATGACAGCCCAAATGACTACACAAATCATATCATCAAATCAATGTAATTGCTCAAAATTTAAATTTGGTCCTTGAGTATACATGATCCACCGAATCAGAAACAATTTTTAAAAGATGTTTATCAGTCACTTATTTTAGAGTTCAGTCCATTGCTCCAACTCCGAGGCCAGAGAAGTCAAACTCAAGGTCTGCAGTCCACTTCCGGCCCGCAGTACAATTATATAAAAGGTCCGCGATAAAATATCATATGTCTATCGTAACTGGCCCACCGGTAAATAGGACACACACTTTTTTGTGTACGGTGTGCAATGCCCAAAGGAAACAAAAGATACCGCCCCCCATGCAGTCACCATCTTGGTATTCTGTTTAACAAGATTTATTGAGTACCTTTCTCAGAAGTGGTATGATGCAACAAACCAATTTAGCATCTGTAATGAAACTCAAGTTTTCTGTATGCTCCACCTTCTTAAATGGAATAATAGCTCTCCATGATTCAGTTTAGCATTTAGTGCCATATTGGTCCTAATCATTCAAGCTGTTGGAGTTGAAACTTCATCTGTTTAGGCGTTTGTCTGGTCTGTAGTTGCATCATACTTATCTGGTTCATGTTTCTCAGTCTTAGTATCCACACCAGACAGCCCATCACCATTAGCATGTGAATCGATGGCATCCTGTTGTCCTTCTCCTCTGTTGGTATCGGCCTGGCTTTGGTGCAATTGTTCAGGTGGTACCAAGTTTACAGAGGTTTTTTTCTATCTTTATTCAAGATCGTGGTCTTTCAGTTTGAGAGCATGACTTGTTGAATGTATGTTCAGAATGTGCATTACTTTTCATCAAAACCATGCCCTTGCACTCAAATAGCTCCTGTTTGCACTTAAATGTGGTCTGCTTCTGCTCAAACTATGTGCACTCAGAAACATTTTTGCTTGCACAGATTTCGTGCGCTCCTGCTTCAGCCCCTCTCCGCACTCACACTGCTTCTGTGCGCTCGTGATTCATCTGCTCTTGGATTTCTTCTCTGCTCTTGGATTTTTTTGTGCAACAACCCTTTCACAGTTGAAATATGTTTTCATGCTATAACTGCAACAGGCTAACTACAATTTATACATTTCTCTTTGTCGTGAACACGGGGTTAAAGTAGCAGAGTTGAACAATCAAACAACACAGGATGACACAAAGCAAGGATAGTGCTATGTTTTTCTAGATCATTGATAAGAAACTCTTTCAGCACTATATTTTGGGTGTATAGTGTGTATAATTTAATTGTATTACACTTTAATACAACTGCAGCTCTACAGACACAAAGGCACTTAAAAAAGAAAAGTCAGGCTCACAGAAACTTGAAGTGAAACTGTCAGTCTTGTTCTGACCAGCAATGAGTATGCAACAGTCAACCCTCGGCAATTTGCTTAAATGTCTAGATAATGTCTCGGACATTCAAACACCAAATCATTCTTTTTATTTTGGCAAATTTGACTGTGATTTAAATAA